CAGTTATAGAAGTATGCCATGAAGAAATATGTTTGGAGAAAGATTAAAAAAACAATAATCTATCTTATCCATTAAAATATATTTTACATGTGTGTTAGGAGCACTGAAAAACTTAGTTTTGGTTGAATTGATGATATAAAAGAAGAATATGCATGAATACATACAATAGACTTTTGTTAAACGTGATCTTACTTTGACATTCCTCCCACACAACTTAATCGAAGAATTGCACAACTTAATAGTAATAATAATAATAAAAAACATGTTCCAGAGTGGTTCATTGTATATAAAGTATTTTTGTGAACAATATTCAAACTAATGTTAGTGTTCACTGATTGCTTTAAAGACCCAGAGTCATGCTATATTGGACCCAGAGTCATGCTATATTGGAGTGGTAGTGACACCATTCCACATCACAATACAGGACTTAAACTACAGATGATTTATCAGTATTCAGTTGCTTAACTCTTGAGTTTAAATTGGAGGACAAAATGGTTGAAAGTATGTGATACCTTCTGATAGAGTATAAACATTTGTATTCTTTTTTAAAAGTTTTGTTAGTTAAGCACTAAATATAACTCACGGATGAACTAAAAAGGAGACAGCTCAAAGTAGAATTGAGTAAATAAACATCTATACATTTAAAAACATTTGAGGAATTAATTATAATAAAAATAAAATATACTGTCACGTAACTTTTGAAATAACTTTTAGAATGTATTTTTCTTCTGTCAACTTTCATTTAACACTCCAGTCCAGTTGGTGGCAGTAATGCGATTTCATAGTCGGTCAGGCAGCCGCCATTAAACTCCAGAGGAAGATTTGCACCAGCGCTAAAGAGTGCTAATGCTAAACCCAACATGAACGAAAATGCCCGTGCGTTGTTTGAAATGGTGGAAAAAGTACTTTTCAGAGTTTTTCGGAGTTACTTTTCAGTATCGTTTTGATATTCAGCAATGTCCCGGCGGAAAACAGCAGATGACACCGCGGCGGTCCAACAAGTCCGAACTCACGGTAAGAAAGCTTTTATGAATAGCGAGCACG